AGAGAGAGAGAGAGAGAGAGAGAGAGACAGGGTGTCCAACAGACCTGAAACTTGAATGGGCTAGAGGCTGGCTGGTCAGTGAGCCCCAGGACTTTTCTTTTTCTCTTTCTTTCCTTTTTGTAAATATGTATATGTACATTGACTGCATGTGTGTAGGTGCACCCATGTCATGCAATGCCCACAGAGGTCAGAAGAGGGTGTTGGATCCCCTGGAACTGGAGTTTAGAACAGAGAGTTGCTAGCTGCCATGTGGGTGCTGGGAGTTGAACCTGAGTCCTCTGCAAGAGCAGCCAGTGTTCTAACCACTGAGCCGTCTCTCCTGCCCCAGGCTTTTCTTTTTTAACATAAACTCCGGTTCTTCTGTTTGCAAATCAAGCACTTTACTGAGTTATCTCCCCAGCCCATCTTCATACTTCTATTTGCACTTTATAATAACGGTCAAGAAAAGTATGAGAAATCAAATGCAAACATTTAAGAATAGCATTAATGCAACTGTTGATGTTTACATACAGATTGATTTATTATCAGATTCCCTGATAAGCAGGACTTGTTTTTCTAATGTATCGTGCTGCTATTGCTCCCAAGATCTTATCTTTACTGCTTATTAAAATACCTTATATCTAGCAGGATGTGGTGGTTCACACTTATAATCCCAGAACTCAGAGGCTGAGCAGGTCGGGAAGGCATGGTGGCAGGAGGGGGCTGGAGCAGGAGGAGAAAGCAGAGGTTCACATCTTCAAGCCGCCACAAGAAGCTGAGAGGGACTGGAGATCCAACAAAGCTTAAGAACTCTCTAAGCCCGCCCCCAGTGACGTGCTTCCTCCAGCAAGGCCACACCTTCTAAGAGCTCCCCAAACAGCGCCACCAATGGGGACAAAATGTTCAAACACTTGGAGCCTGTGGAAGACATTCTCATTCAAACCACCACTCACACAAAGGTGGTCACAAATTACATTTCACTGCAAGAGCTAAAGAGCTCAATCATCAGAAATGAGACACTGGAGGAGCCAGAGAGCAGGTGCTAAAGATACCAAGAGTCCAGGTGTGCACGAGGTCGGTCCACTTCCAGGCCACATGCTTCTGATGACTGTCAGTGGACAAACTCTAGAAATGAACTGTTGAAGAGTAACAGGAATGTTACCACATACTGTTTGGTGGTTCTACGAAAACAATGTACTGACTTGTGGAGTCAAGGGGAGAGACGGAGTTGGGGATAAAGGCACAGGATGCAGAAGCCACATTGAGGTCCCAGGGAACTGACCAACCCAGTGTTCCTGTCCTGGTAGCCACAGCTAAGTGAGGAGGCGACTACAGCTGCTTTCTTTACAGCTGCCTCAGCAGCTTTATAAAGTGATTTTTTTTTATTCAGCCAAAGGTTAAGTGCAAGGGAGGATTAAACCAGGGCAGTGAACTTTGTTTCTAGATTTTTGTGATAACCTGATTATCTAGCAGTCAGTCAAGAAGTCAGTTTGCAAATTCTGTCCTTAGACTGTAAAGATAGCAGAGAAAATATTTGAGCTTACCCACTCTCAAGAAAGCTTGAGCTGACCTGGTGCACACCTAGGCCATTCCTCCAGCGCTTTTAGCATCTTTGGCCTTGTTAGCTCAGGTGTGAACCATTTTCCTTATTAGCATTTTATAGAGGACAGCTGGAGATGAGGAAATGGCCAGTTCACCTCCCTGTCCTTTCCCTCTTTTAAACACAGCCCCAGATTCTCTCCAGCCACTCAGTCAACAGTCAGCACCACAATATGGAATCAAGAGGACTCAGGACCTAGCAGGGAATGCTGATGTGACTCCACAGCAGCGCACTGGGGAAGCAGGGGTGACCGGCACCGGAGCTACGGCCCTAGAAACCAGGGCCGCTCAAGAGAACCAAGAGGTGCAGGAAACCAGGGCTCCCTGCATGGTGGGAGTTCAAAGATGTAAGGACCAAGGAGAGATCAGGCAGTGACCAGAAACACAGACAGATGAAAATGGCATTATGGGTTAAAATACCACAGAATAATCAATCACAAGTTCAGAGCCCCATTTTATTTAGCTGGAAGATGGGGTGAAGTCATCACTAGTGTTTTCAGTCTGCGGCTGCACATTCTCCTTGGGGAGGTGTGCTGGAAGGGGGTGGGCCATGCTTGGCAGGAGCTCTGGTGGTCTGGAATCTGGGTCGTGGAGAACCGAAGGAGCAGAATTAGTTTCCTAAGGGTACACTGAGCAGGCCCACACACGTGTCCTTTCCAGCACTACACCCTCCACTGTCCTACCCACTGGGGGAACTCCCCATTTTTCCTGGCCACCTCTCACCTGCCTGGTTCCCCAGTTGGGCCTCAGGCCGATCCCCCCAGAGTTGATGCTTGGGGTCATTGAGGAACCTCTGACTGCGCTGGCATGTTAGGCAGGTCTGCACTGTCCAGCGCTGTCCCTTCCGGCCTAGGGTACAAGTAGGGAGAGGTGTGTCCAGGCTTCCGAGGAAGCATCTGGCATCAGTTTCACCTCCAGTGTCAGTAGGATTCCCACCCCATCCCCATTTGGAATACAAATTTGATGTGTGTGGGGGGAGGCCCCCACGAACATCCATTTCTTGGAACTCTAAGTCCAAACTCTCAGCAAGGTCCAGCCTGTTTTATCACTCTCATCTCCTGATCCTGCCTACCTCAAGCTCCAGCCTTCTGAACGTTTTCTGGCATCACAAATTCTCTTTTTTAAAAATTCTTTTGCCAGGGACGGTGGCACACGTCTTTAGTCCCAATACTTGGGAGGCAGAGGCAGCGCCGGCTGGCCTGGAACTCGCTATGTAGACCAGGCTGGCCTTGATCTCACTAGTTTCTGCCTCCAGCGTGCTTGGATTAAAGGCATGCACCACCACACCCAGAGATGAAGTTGACTTTTTGAGACAGGGTGTCACGTGGTCCAGGCTGGTCTTGAACTCCAATTCCTAAATGCTGGAATTACAGGCATGCACCACATGCGGCTTGGAATTAAACACTTCTTGAGTATTAAATATTGAATGGCGACAGGAGTCATTCTTCTACTGCACACATGGGTGAAATCGCCGCTAGGGCATCGCTTTTAGCTCTGCCCGGACCGGGGGACGAGGCACGGGGGGTGGACACGACAAAGCGGGCTGGGGAAAGCCTGCAGCCGTCCAGGAGGAAGGAGCACCCGGCGGACGCCCCCCGCCGCCCGCGTCCCTCCAGGCAGCAGCACTCACGTCTCTGGCGCTGGGTGCAGGTGAGCCCCGGGATGAGGAGGGAAGAGCAGCCGCGACATAGGGTCCTCTTGACCGAGGGGTCCCTGAGCGAGGAAAGAGGCGGTCGGCCCCGCCCCCACACGCTTCCGCGGCCCGAGGCCCCGCCCCTCCCCGGGCCGGCCCCCGTCTCACCGGCGCAGCACCAGCCGCTTGGCGATGGTCTTCTCCGTGTGGCAGTAAAACCTGGCGAGCGCCTGGTTCTCAGGGTCCTGCGCGAGGACGCAATGCGCGGCCTGGGGACGGCGGCACTCGGTCACCCGGGCCACAGCTCGGGCCACAACTCGGGTCCCGCCTGCCCGCCCGCGGACTCACCTGGTACAGGAAGCTGAGCCTCTGGAAGGCCTCGCGGTCCTTCACCGGGCCCGCCATGCGGGCCAGCCCGGGAAGCTAGGCGCTCGCGGATGGCCCCGCCCCGCCCCGGCGCGCAAGGCCTCCTGGGAGGCGTAGTGCTGGCCCTGGCGCCGGGCGGGGAGGCAAACCAGCGGCCTTCTCCCGGCGCCCCGCCCCGCCCCGCCCCGAGGCTACGGACTAGGGAGCCCCGCGAGGAGCAGGGACAGCCCCTGGGGACAGAAGCCTGGTCCACGTAGGGCGGAGACGGGGGCAGGTGGCCGTCCGCGCTGCTGAAGCCGGGGCGGGGGGCTGAACGTCCTCTGAGTGGGGACAGGCTGCGCGGCGCCCACCTGGGGTCGCAGCGGGTATCCTGGCGTGGGAGGCCCGAGCAGGACGGCGGGCGAGCGGGCGAGGACCTACGGCCAGCCTCGCGCAGAGTCCCGGCCCGCTCTGCAGGGCCCGCCGAACCGCAGAAACTCAGGGTGAGCAGGTTCTGCGGCACCTAAGGCGGCGTGGCCCGCCGCGGCCGGTCCTCTGGCCCCCATGCTCCGTGTGCTCACCTCATCCCCGTTCATGGCGCCCAGTGTCCAGGTCAGACCCAGGGACGCAGGCTGCAGGGGCAGAGCCCGATGGGCTCCTGAGCCGGGCAGCACACGGCGGGAGCGCGCTTCCTGCCTCAGCCCCCGCAGGGTGAGGGAGCCCGCTTCCCGCTCGGAATCGGAAGCTGGCCGACGTCCCCGGGGCGGCTTCTGCAGGCCCCTCACTTCCATGAGGAGTGTGCGGACCGAAGAGCCCGGCTGGAGGGGCGGCCCTCGCTTCAGTTCGGGCCCCAGGAGGAGTGGCTCTGAACCGCAGCTCCGGGGAGTCCAGGCCTCTGGGCTCCCGCACTCCGCACTCCCGCGCGCACAGCCTCACACACGTTAAATAAAATGGAGTGTAGGTTACCAGGCCCACCCGAACTTCCATCAAGCAGAGGGCTAGACCCAGGAACATGGACTTTTCCTGCCCAGCGATTGTCGCACGTCAATATAAGGTCGCTGCCAAATGACCACACAACACAGAGATCATGTCAGTGGATCCTTTGCTCCATATTTTGACCAACCAAATTATCTTGCCACAAAGAACCACAGTCAAGGCACAAAGGTAAGAGGAGAGCAGACAGAGTTCTGTTGAGGTGGAGGAGGGAGTGAAGTGCCCTCAACAGTTTCTTGTCTCAGTCTGAAGGTTACTCAAGCAGCAAACAATCCGGGTGGTTTGAGTTGGATTTGGCATGCATCACTTTACCTTTTGTGACAACGTATGTACCCTATGGGTTGTTTATTTTGGCCTAACATTAAAATGATTTACATTCTCTGAGAAGGGGATGGCAAAGGGTGAAGGATGGCAACACGCTAAGCTGTCTACCTGGCCCTCTGCTGTCCACACCACCCTCTCCACCTCGTCCTCAGGGGTGAGGAAGGCTCCGTCACCTTTCTTCCTTGCAAACCTGAGCCAGGGAACAAGGCTGGCAACCTGCGAGCAGTTACGGAGTGACGTTCTTTAAGGCCAGGGCTTTGGATAGATGCACCTTTCTCTCCTCTAACCCTGACTCCTCTCCAAGTTCCCCTGGGAAACAGCCGAAGGGCAGATGTGTCTCCCAGGATGGTTTCAATCTCACCTCTGGAGAGGCGCAAGGTGAGCAACTTCTGACGACAGCCAAGTGGAATAACCTAGTTTTGCTGAAGGCCAAGAGGGACCAGGGTTCTTTCCCTCCCACCTCTTCCTTCTCCCCACACTGCAACCTCTGGCTGATCCTATCCCCTGGGACTAGACCAAAGAAACTTCCCTTCATTAGTTTCTAGACATGTGCTCCTTTAGCCCTCTCCCTGATAGTCCTTCTAGTCTGACCCCCCATCTCTGCCCTTGGAAAAGCCCCTCAACATCTAGCTCTCTCATCTCTTCAACAGGGGTACACAGATCCCTACAACCTCCCTCAAGGAACAGACAATTCTGAGTCATAGAAGCCCTGAAAGGTTTCTGTCTCCCCTGCACTCTGAGCAAGCTAGACCCTCTCCTAGACTTGTTTCTGGAAAAGCCCTTCTTTCCTTCCCAGCCTGTCCCTGTGGAATAGCAAACCTGACGGACACCAGAGACTCCAGCCCCCTGGGAACCTGCTCTCCCCCCACAGCGAGGAGACTCATCTGTGCTGTTGTGCAGCCCAGTTCTACCTCTGCTCCTCCACACAGACCATCCCAGAGACCAGACGGTTTCTCAAGATGGCTCCGGACTGGAACCAGGCAGACACCAAGACATTCCAGCAGCCGCAGTAAGGAAGGCCCATCGCTCTAGACCCTGCCTCACCCCAGTGCCGCCGCATCCCTGTCATTCCCAATCTGTTGGGGGCCTGATAGTAAGTGGTGCGGCATTCTTCCGACCCGCCCGGATACCGGGGTAGAAGAGGGGCCAAAGTTTCTCAGTAAAGGTATCAGTGAACGTGTAGATGTGCGAGCGGTCTGTGACGTTGTAAAATGACAGCGTGCCAGCCTCATAGTCGAGGAATATGCCCACCCGCTTGGGTTTCACCTTGATGTGCAAAGGGGTGAAAGGTGTGGTGGTAGCAGCGTACTTGTCCCCGTTCCACAGCCGCACCCGCCAGTAGCCAGTCTCGGGTAGAGGAGTCAGCTCGCCTTTTCGGCTCACAGAGTCCCGGCACACTCCCACTGCCCAGTGGGTCTTGTCGCCCACTTCCACCTCCCAGTAGTGTCGACCTGAGGTGAAGCCTTCAGTAGCCAAGACACAAGGGTAGAAGGTGAAACGCTGGGGCGTGTCAGGGAGGTCTCGGAGTCTCGTCTCCACAAACTTGACACTCTTCCGATCCTCTGACAGGACTAGGTTAGGATGAGCTGTCTCAGGGTCCAGGGTCACATCCGCTGGCGGGAGAAGCCAGAGTAGGGAGCTAGATGAGGATGGGAACAGCTAAATGCCCCTGCCTCACTTTCCCGGGGAAGGACACAATGGCTTCTACTGTGATCCTGACTCTAAACACGTGATGAGCACTGACTCTGCAGGGCTGGTAGTGGAGGTTCCTACCCCTTGGTCTCCTTATCTGACAGTATTGTACCTATTTCAACGTGTGGAAAAATGAAAGGTACTGTCTGAAGGCCAAAAGAAGGATGTGGATCAAATGAGCTTTAGGGGCTAGAGACAGGGTGAGCATGGGCTTGCATTCCCGAAGGTTCTGGTTCATGACGGTGTTCCCTGCGTAAATACTCATCGTGTTCCCTTTCATGCTCAAGACTGTCCTGCTAAGGTAACTTCCATGGTCACTCTAGCTGATGGTTTAGGAAGACTTCAGTATTTCAGGGTCTTGTTAGAAAGGTGAAGGCTTCTCCGAGTTCTGGGGTTCAGGGGGCAACTGGAAGCTGCTGAGGAGCAGGGTGGACTGGGCATGAGGAAGGGAGGCCCACAGGAGGGTCCTCACTTTCTATTCTGCCTAGTCTCTCTGCTCGTTTCTTTTTGGGAACAACTCACCAATTAGCTGTTTAAGGATTTTCCTTAGGGCAAAGTACTGTCGGGGGAAATTGCTGAAGTTCTTTTCCAGCTCTATAGATACTGAAGTCACCTCCATGGTCTTCACCTTCTCACATCTGGCAGGGATGGGAGATAAGGAAAGAAAGCACAGGGTCAGGGGACCTCCAGAGAAGTGAATTAGCAAGTGTTACCTTTAGGGAAAGCTCTTCACTTTCTTCTTCCTCCTGGAAGACAATTGCTTTCCTTTATTCATGGAGAGCTATGTGAGCCTCAGGACTTTCTTGAAATACTCTTACATTTCATGCAAATGGATAACCACCCCTCCTCCCAGCCCCTCCAGCTCTCTACACTGAACACCACTCCATCCACAGCACATCCATTATCACTGCCCTGACGGCAAAGGGAGGTGAGGCAGCCTCAGTCCTAATGGCTCGTTCTCTATCCTACTCAGACACTGCAAGACTTTCCCATTCTTACTTTCTCCGACTCATTACCTAACCCTTAGCCTCTGAGCTAAGACCTAACTCAAAGAGACAGAAGAATCACTTACTTTTCTAGGGTACTTTTCACATCCTAGAGGGAAAGAGAAAAGAAAGCAAGATTGGTCCTGGTATTCAGGGTGATGAAGGCAAAAAGGTTCTCCCTCTTTCCAAAGTTCTAGATCATAAACTAGGCACCAGACAAACTGAGAGGCCCCAGTGGAAGGGAAGCACTTCAGAGGGATGCAAGTGCAAGCCTCCTACATAATGTCCATTTCCAGCTGCTGGTCATCATGAAGCTTACTAACATCATTTCCAAATGGTTTCTTGTACATTTTCCTTTGCTCCTCAAAGACACCAGGAGCTTCTTGCAAGGAACAGAGTTTGTGTCTGCTCTTTACTTCGTCCTCAAAGTACCAACCACACACTTCAGTATCCTTGAGGATCAGTATAGAGAATTCCAAACCTGTGGTACAGGACACTTCCCACTGTGGTCTGGGCTCTCCTATCTGGTACTGGTTAATAAGCACTAACCCATGCCAGTCCTGATTCAAGGATAGTTGGGAACCAGAAGACAAACACAACTTAATTCTGCCCTGCAGGGCTTCCAGTTTAATGTGGTTAGCAGAACACACACATGAAAGGACGCAGTGATGAAAACCAAGCAACACATAATGTACACATAAGAGTGCGGTGATGCCTCACTGACTCAATGCCAGTGCTCTCATTGAAGAAAGATGTTCCTACAGCTTTGCCAACGTCACACATCTGCTCCAGACAGTAACTGTTTTAAACAGTGTTGTTTTAGAGTCACCACCAAGACACCAAAAGCAGTGTATCACGTTTCATGAATCCTATAAATCATGCTTCTATTCTTTTCACCACTAGGTAAATGCAGTTCTAGGTGGTCACTGCATTTGCAAAACTTTTAATGCATAGTTTTTTACTAAGCAGACCACATTTCCCATCTCTGAAAAGAACTATTTTTTAATTAAAACAATTAAAAAATTTATTTTTATTTTATGTGTATGAGTGTTCTGCCTGCATGATGTAAGTGCACCTGTATTGTACAATGCCTGTGGAGGCAAAAGAGGGTGTAGGATCCCTTGGAACTGGAGTTAAGAGGGTTGACATCTGCCGTGTGGGTGCTGGGAACCAATCCTGGGTTCTCTGCAAAAGCAGCCAGTGCTCTTACCTGCTGAGCCATCTCTCTAGCCCCCTCAATTGCTTTTATTTTTTAAATAGTTTATTTTTATTTTATGTATATGTGTGTATTGCCTGCATGCAGGTAAGTGCACCCATGTTGGGAAATGCCCAAGGAGGACAGAAGAGGCTGTCGGATCCCATGGAACTGGAGTTACGGACAGTTGTTAGCTGCCATGTGGGTGCTGGGATTCGAACCCGGGTCTTCTGCAAGAACATTTGCCAGTGTTCTTAACCGCTGAGCCATCTCTCCAGTCCCCTTAATTGCTTTTATTACCTATGGACTTGTTTGTTTTTAGCTTTATGCATATGAGTATTCTGCCTGCATGTAAGTGCACTGCACAGCTGGCAATGCTCACAGAGGCCAGAAGAGGGCATTGGACTTGCTGGAACTGAGGGTTACAGATGGCTACTAACCACCATGTGGGTGTTGGGAACCCAACCAGTGTCCTCTGCAAGAGTAGCCTACCTAATACTCTTAATGGCTGAGCCGTCTCTCCAGCCCCAAGAACGGTCTTTTTCTTTGGTACAAATTATTCACGTTACTATTATTATTTTGAGATAGGTCTCAAATGGGGCCTTGGCTAGCCTGGAACTCCATATGCAGATCAGCCTGGCCTCAAACTCACAGAATCTGCCTGAGGCCTCTGCCACCATGCCCCTACCACGCGCACCTAATTTTTGGCAAGTAATAAGGATACAATAAAAATTTGGAAGGAGGTGGTGGAAATCAGAGAAGCCTTTCTTTAGAAAAAGACCCTTTAAGCATGCCTGGAAGAGACCTGGGCTTAGGGAAGCAGAGCAGGAGTGGGTCACCCCAGGCTGACACGATGGCCTGCTCAAAGCTAGATGGTATTTGACCTGAGGAGCTACGCAGGAGCAAAGGTCAAACCTTAAGCATCTCGAAGCCCGACTGTAAGCACTTGCCCTCCACCTCAGCAGCTAAGTGGGCCAGGTCCCGGCGCTTGTCCCCAAGGTGAGCAGCATTTTCCCGCAGTCTCTGCAGAATGTCTTGCTCCTCCTCCTCCAGACTAGAAAGCAGTGTCTGCTGCTCCTCATCCAGCCGCCTGTGCAGCTCTTCAAACTCCTTCAAGATTTGCCGTCGCCGACTCTCCACTAGTCTCTGAGAATAAAGGGAAGATGTGGAGTCAGCTGGGCAGGGCAGGAGGGGCTGCTCTCTTAGGTTTAATACAACACTTAGGACGGCGCCTGCCTTACGGTACGGACAGCAGAGGCCCTTCTGATGTTTTCAGTTCTGATGTTTGGCTCATACAACATTTTAGAAGAGAACATACAAATACTAGAAAGCTAAGGAGATAGTAACCTGATAAAAACCAGAGAATATGAAACTCAGAATCAGTAAACAGTTTAAGGAGTTGATGCAAAGTATATACTTAGACTTAAATTTTGATTGCTGTTTTTATTTGTTTTTTTTCAAACTGTGTCTTGCAATGTAGCACAGGCTGGCCTTGAACTTGTGGTCCTCTTGCCTTAGCCTCCAGAGTTCCGTGCTGGCATCCCCCTTGTGAACATGGTAACCAGTTTCAAGTCATTTTGGAGAAGGGGCACTTCCCGTTCAGGAACAGGCTCCAGATATTTGTTACTAACACCAGCCACCCAGCTTTCTGAGGATTATCAGCACATCCTCCCTTTGTGCTCTCCAGCAAGAAGCACCCTCCTCAGTGGAGGAGTCTCCAAGAGCCTGTGACTGATGGGGAAGAGCAACAGGACTCGAGAGACTTGGTAGAAAGTCAATGCTCAAGTTGAAGAGTCCTGGTGGGGATATAGGTGAACCCGCATGGGCCTTGCATGCCTGGCAGTCCTGAACTTTCACTAGCTCCAAGCAGACACTGACTATCTTTAGCTCCATGGGCACATGCTGCTTTCTCAGGCAGACAGCGGGATCTTATTCAGAAACCCCAATACAGTGTCTGTGTGTTTAAGAATGTGAAGTGCATTGCGTGAAACTCACTAAGACTGTATTTTACGAGTTGGAGAGATGGCCCTGCAGTTAAAAGCACCTGCTGCTCTTCCAGATGACTTGTGCTCTGTTCCCAGCAGTATGCTGGATGGCTCACAAATGCCTGCAACTCTAGTTCCAGGGGGTCTGACAACCTTTATGGCCTCCAAAGGAATCTGTACATGTGAACATTCGCAGATACATACATACAAATCTTTTTTAAAAAGACTATTTTTTTCTGATTTTACCATGGCCTCTGCCTCAGTCTACCTCAGTGTGACCTCACTTACTGCACTGTGACCCTGTCACATAAAGGTGCAAGCATACAGCCACACTACAGAGCCTTTCAGGGTAGTCATGGAAAATACTGCACAGCAGATTGTACTATAAATTGTTTCTATGTGTTATATTTAGATGCAACAGTCTAAAATCATGGAGATAGCTTAAACTTATTTCTCTACCTTTCTGTGTGGTTTTAAGACAGGGTCTCATGCAGCCCAGGTGCTTATCTAAAACTTATTTCAGCGCAGCTAATTATAAACTTTTCACTACTCTGAGATACTATCTTACTATCTGGCCCAGGCTGGCCTGTGCTGGTTTTGAACTGGTCATCCTCCTGCCCCAGCCTCCCCTGGGATTACAGGTGTGCACTACCAGGCCAGCTCATCAACATAGTTCTTGTTTGCAGTGCTGGCAGTCAAACCCTCCTGTCTTAATCCCCTGAATATGGGGATTATGGGTATGTGCAACCAAGCCTTACTCCTAACTGGCCTTTGATCTCGGAGCTCTCTGCCTGCCTCTACCTCCCTAGTGCTGGCATGCACCACTACGCCCAGCCTGTAAAGTATTTATTTAATTTATTTATTTTGGTCTTTTTTGAGCCTGGGTCTCCCTGTAGCCCCAGCTGGCCTGGAACTTACTCTGTAGACTAGGCTGACCTTGAACTCAAGAGAGATCTGCATGCTGGGATTAAAGGCATGGGCCACCACACCCGGCAACGTAAACTGCTTTTTTGGGGTTTTTTTTTGGTCTTTTTGAGGCAGGGTCTCCCTGTAGCCCCAGCTGACCTGGAACTCTCTGTAGACCAGGCTGGCCTCAAACTCACAGAGATCTGCCTGTGTCTGCCTCCCAAGTGCTGGGATTAAAGGTGTGCACCACCACGCCCGGCCATGTAAGCTACTTTTATAGGAGTTTTGCATCTAATTATGGAGGTTTGGATGAAAGGGGAGGTGGAAGAATTCAAATGGTCAGTTTCACTGGGGTGGCCTCTGAGGTATGTCTGCAGTCTCACCCTACATCCTCTTTGCTCTCTGCTTCCTGTATGTGGATGAAAATGTGACCCATCAGCTTCCTGCTCCTGCCGCCATTCCACACCTTTGCCACAGGATGGACTCTCAGAACTGAAAATCAAATAGAGCTTTTGTTCCTTAAGTTGCTCTTGATCACATTATTTTATGATAGCAACAGAAAAGGAATGAATATAGAAACTGGGAGCAGGAGACATGGTGTCGGAGCCTGACCGTGTAGCTTTTTGAGAGGCATGTGGAAGACTTTGGAACACCACTGATGCTGTAAGAAGCACTTACTGGGCCACTCTGGTGGGCACCTAGAAGACACTGCTGAGAGTACTGGGGACGGGAGGCCCAGCTCACGAGGCTTAAGAGGGGCTAGAAACCATTCACGTGATTGCAGGTAGAGAATCTGGCCGCATTCTGAGTGTCCTAAGAGCTTGCCTAAGGCTAAATTAAAAAGCAAAGGACTAATTTCTTTGGTGGAGGAAGTTTCAAGACAGCATCGCACTGTAGCATGGTTATCACTGCTCTTCTGCAGGTCTGCAATGGAGAGCAACAAGTCGGGCAGAAAGAAATGCACCGTTTGGAGATGAAGAGCCCTGGAGAGCTTAAAATTGCAGTCAAGTCATGTGCTGAAGAAGACAGTAACTACTAGGAATGAGCACCACTAAAGAAACCCTTTGGCTCTGCCAGAAAAGGTGCCCTCATGGCAAGAACACAAGCAGCTAAAGCTCAACTCTGTGAAAGAACTAAGGCGTTTTCTACTTCTTTCAAGCATACAAACATTGCTGCTAATTGATCAAGGGGGCAAGGGTCCATCCCAAGCTGGCAGCCAAACTAAGCAGTGTCACCCACGTGGTATTGGTTTTGGAGACAAGAAAGACACAAGAGAGGGTCATGGACTTGTCCTCTGTAGTTTCAGAGAGCTACTGAGGCCAGGCAACGCGTGGCAGGGTCCGAGTCCCTGCCAGGCCTGGAGGGGTGATGCCTGCATTGCAGCAGAGACCCTAAGAGACATCTGCCAAGGAACACTGCACATGGGGAGTGGAACCAGCCCAGAGAGAGGTGTACCTTACAGGCAGCAAAGCTGGGGGAACAGAGCTATCTAAGCCCTTTGAAACTGAAGCCCCAGATACCAGACATGGAGCCACAGAACCCGGTGTTTGCCTGTTGGTTTTGGTCTGGCTTTGGTCCAATCTTTTTGCTATACTCCCAACCCTCCTTTTTGGAGCAGAAATGCATGTTCTGTGGCTTTCTGTGTTGGAAGTACATAATTGGCTGTTTTGATTTTTCTTGCATCTTGGCTTTTGAGCCACACATCACCTCTTTTCTCTACCTGACCTGAAGCTCAAGGAGGGCAGGGACAGTGCTTTGCTTATTTTTGCTCTTCAGTGTCAAATCCTAAGCACTGAACAGGGTGATTCACAAGAGCTGGGGTCTGACTTGCTACTTCGTACTGTATAATTTAAGTCCCGTTTTCTCCTGTGTATGCTGGGTCATACCTACCTTACAGAGTATCTAGGTTTACCCATGTCAATGGCCTCACCATCTTCTTGTCTTCAGTCCTCTCTGTGTCCCACTTGTCCCATGTCTGGTCTGAACTCCTAGACCTCTAACCTGGGCAGAACCCTAACCCTCAGTACAAGCTTAAACACTTGTCATGCCGTCGATACCCATGACCTCACACACGGGGTTCAGTGCTAGTTATCACTGTTGCTGCTACTAACGACTGCGCCCTGTTCAGTATAAGAAAAGATTAGATAGCACAAGCACCATCCTACACATACGGTAATGCTGTGAAAAAGATACACAACTGTGGGAGAGCTGAGGAAGCTAATTCCCAGAAGGCCAGGGAATGCTGCACAGGAAGTGGCCTTTACCCGGCTGCCAGCTGGAGGGAATCTCAGAGGTGGAGGCTGGGAGAGGAGACGTTTGGGGGATGAACACTACCCATTTACTTGATGGTAAGAATATGGCTCTCATGTCACTGGGCAGTTCTGGGAGCCCCTGGTCAGCTCCTCCTTCTTCCCCTGTGACTTTCCAAGTCCCTCCATCTCTCTAAGAAGCTCCCATCCCCGCAATCTTAGATCCGGTCAGTGCTTTGTGGGAGAAAAAAGGAGCGCACTGGGCAAGAACCCCAACTTAACCAACAGTAAGAGGTTCTGTCTGTCCTTCATTTGTAAAGTTTTATGTATTTCTATCGTACACATGTGCACATGTATGATGGGGGAAGGTACAGTGCACACATGGAGGTCAGAGCAAAACCCCATGGAGTCGGTTCCCCTTCCACCCTCACGGGGGCTCCACTAAACTCAGGCTGCCAGGCTTGCACAGCAAGCACCTTTATCCCCGTCCTCCACGTCTTAAATCACTCTCCACTCCTACATGACAGTGATTGAAGGACAGTGTGTGATGAGAAGTCTAACATATATCATTTAGAGAGAACAGCATTCTTCCACTGAACTGGCTAAGTGGAGTGGGGCTACTGTGCTCACAAATGCCCTGAAGAACAGCGAGGATCACCTGCCTTTACCTTGAGCTCCCCGGGTTTCTTCTCTTCAGAGGCTTTGCAGCGGGTGATCTCCTGCAGCTTCTGTTCTAAGGGCTCCAGGCACTTCTGCAGTTTTTCCTGAGGGTGGGGAAGAAGACGAAGTGTTAGCTGGCACATCCATTATTTGGAGGTTAACACATTTGATTGTTCTTCTTGTTGTTAAAGATTATTTATTTATTTTGGTCTTTTTGAGACAGGGTCTCCCTGTAGCTCCAGCTATCCTGGAACTCACTATGTAGACCAGGCTGGCCTTGAACTCAGAGATCCGCCTGCCTCTGCCTCCCAAGTGCTGGGATTAAAGGCGTGCACCACCACGCCTGGCAAGATTTCTTTTTATGTGTTTGTGTGTATGTCTGTAGGAGTATGTGTGCAGAGAGGCCAGAAGAGGGCATTAGGTTCCCTAGAACTGGAGTTACAGGCACATGTGAACTGCTTCATACGGATGCTATAAACTGAACTTGGGTCCTCAGCAAGAGCAGTGTGCTCTCTTAACAGCTGAGCCATCTTTCCAACCCAATTATTATTCTTTCCTTACAGTGCTTAGAATCAAACCCAGGGCTTCAAACATGCTAGGCAAATGCTTTACTTCTAAGGTCCATCTTCTATTCTAACCCATTTAACGCCTACCCTCTCTTCTTGGTCCAACTCCTTTCCTGTCATCAGCCTGTCAGCACCAGCTCTGCAGCTCACCCAGTTCTCATCCCCTGAATCTAGTGGTCTAGCTGTCATCAACTCCATGTCCGTTCCCAAACTATTTTCTTACAGGCAACTGCCTTTGACATTCAAAGGTGTCTGGTTGATTTCGGTGGTGCTGGGCCTTGTGTATGCTAAGAACATGCTCTACCACTGAGCTACATCGTCCCTTAGTCAGAAGCTACCTTTTGTACCTTGATATCCTTTTTAGTTTTATTTATTTACAATACTTACTTTATTGTTTTGAGACAAAAGTCTCATGTACTTCAGGCTGGCCTCAAATATGTAGCTGAGGATGGCCATCAATTTATTATATCTGTCCTCCTGCAGCCACTGTCTGAGTGCTGGGTTACAAGAGTGTCACATGGCTTCCTTAATATCCTTTCCAACCTTTCCTCCCATCCAACTCTAATCACTTATGAACAAAATAAAGACGTGACTATAAATTACCTTAAATAGTGTTTGAAGATTTTGTTAATTAAGCAAAGTGAGTTTACCCTGTGTTCCATCAGATAAATCAGTTGCCATGTTACGCATTATCTGGGGAAGATGCAAACAGACTGGTTCAGCTTAGTCTGCTGGTATCAGTCTACAGTGATATTACCTATTTCCAATCAATGGGAAAGCAAGGACCATCCTGAGCAGACAGGCGTAATGAAGAACTCAAAATACGTTTTAATCCTTCCAAACTTTGATCTTCATCATGCAGTTTTTCATTTGTTTATTTAAAATCTGAGATACTCCAAGACCACACATACCAATACTCATAAGACTCAAATGTGTTGCAAAAAGTCACAGAAATTTGGGGCATTCCTCTCTTCGCTGATCTTCATGTGGAGAACAACTGATCAGATGTACTGATTACCCCTGTGTACACAGCTCTGAGGTAGAGGACCAGATAGCCTCGCCTCAGGAGCTTAGACTCCTCTCCTCAGAGAGGGTGAATTCTCAGCTGCTTCTCCCTCTTTCCCCGCACTGGCACTGTGTCTGGTTGCCCACCTTGTATTCCTGTGTAGCATCATCCAGTGGCACAACGGTATGGGCCCGGTGTGTGTGTGAAATTGCACATATCAAACATACAGCCTCCTGGTCTTCATAGCAGAAGAGGCTGAGGGCCTCATGGTGCTGGGAGCAGAGGCTCTCATCCCTGATCTTCCGCTTGACTGCCTGGAGCTGCTTGGCGATTTCCACCATACTGCCTAGTTGCCGATTAGGCCGGAGACTGCGGTATCGTGATGTCTTCCGACAGACCGGACAAGGGAAGTCCCGCTCTAGGTCCTCCCACCAGCGGGTGATGCAAGCTTTGCAGAAGTTGTGCCCACACTCAATGATAACAGGCTCCTTCAGATACTCCAGGCACACAGAGCAGCTCGCCTCCACCTGTAGGTTCTCCAGAGCAGCAGCTGTGGAGGCTGCAGAGGCTCCAGCCTCTAACAGACTTGTCTCTGCCATTATTTAACTTGGAGATGGGGGGAGACAGAGAAAAGAAAAATATTAGTTGGAGGGTTCGCGTTTTTTTTTTTTTTTAAGTTCTAGCCTATGTTAAACTGTAACTCCAGATTTATCCCAATCTTGGTATTTTCCACCTTCTTTTCACTACATCCAACCTGCTCCTCTATTTTCCGTTTGTGACTTCTGTCCATCAGTGTACGTACTTTTTTCTGATTCAGCAAACACGAGCAATCCCCTGTATCTCCTCTCACCCCTGCTCTCATTACAGATAGACGCTTTATTTAGCTCTAGCTCAACATAGTTTTTTTTTCTTTAATTTAAAAAATTTTTTATTTTTTTATTTTGTTTGGTCTTTTTGAGACAGGGTCTCCCTGTAGCCCCAGCTGTCCTGGAACTCACTATGAAGACCAGGCTGGCCTTGAATTCACAGAGATCCACCTGCCTCTACCTCCCGAGTGCTCGGACTAAAGGTGTGCGCCACCACACCCGGCAAATTTTTATTATTTTTATTTTATGTATATGTATGTATTGCCTGCATGTAGGTAAGTGCACCCGTGTTGTGCAGTGCCCGCGGAGGTCAGAAGAGGCTGTCGGATCCCCTAGGGCTGGAGTTAAGAACAGTTGTTAGCTGCCATGTGAGTGTTGGGATTTGAACCTGGGTCTTCTACAAGAACAACCAGTGATCTTAACTGCTGAGCCATCTCTGCAGCCCCCAACACATTTTTTCTAATAGATGGAAAGGTGCTAGATGAGGTGGTTCATACCAACAATCCCAGCATCTGAGAGACCAAGGCAGGAAGACTGTCAGGAGTTGAAGGCCAACCTGGGCTACATAGTGAGTTCCAGACCAGCCTAAGCTACAGAGTGAGATCCTGTCATCAAGAGGGAGGGGGAACATGGGAAATGAGACATGCCATATAAACCGATGTATTAGGATTTTAGCTGGGCATGGCTCACACTTAATCCCAATACTTGGGAAACTGAGGCAGGAGGATCACTACAAGCTTGAGGCCAGCAAAAAGATGTCTTAAAGTATAATCTCAGAAGAGTTTATTAGAGCCTAACCTTGACTCTCTGCCATCCCTTTCACCTTTCAAAGGGTAATAGGTTGAATACACTAGGCAAAGGTAGCAATCTCTTTTCAGCGAAATGTAATCACTCTTCTTTTACGGAACTAGCCTAGAGGAAGCAGTGTCCTGGGACTAGCAGTTTCACACATCTCATTTCTATTTCTGCCCATTTTGACTGGCTGAAAAGTGACAAACGCATAGCAAGTCTAGCTGCGCCTAGGGTGATAACTTGAAGAGAGAGCTAAACATTCAGTGGTGACTTTGTCTTTCAAAGTTGCTACTGATAACTAATTCCTTGGACATACTGGTGTCTCCCACTAATAGGCTCTGGAGTGACTGGGAACTACAAAGAGCAGCAGCCAGGTGTGGTGGCACAAGCCTGTAATCCCAGCACTGTGAAGGTGGTCAGGAGGAGGATCAGGAGTTCAAGGCCAGTCTCAGCTACACAGCAAGTTTGAGGCCCGCCTGGGTTACATGTGACCATCTTGTCTCAAAGAATGAATGAATGAATAAATAATCAAAGAGGTAGTCAAAGCTCTCTTAGGTAAAGCCTTAGAAACACATATAGAACAGAAGGCTGGTCTCTGCTCAGTCCTTAAAACATCAATACTTTTATCCACAAATTTCTTTGGTCCCATAACCCACACTGACAGAGAAGTCGTCATGTGATGAGTTGGGTTGACAATGATTGTTTCTGTATATTGATGGTACACATGGAAGTGTTTTTTAAGTACCCAAATTTCTTCCCTCCATTATTAGAGAGATGCTCAGTCGGCTGATTTCTTCTCTACCCTTTAGAACCCAACTTTGACTAGTGACTCAGATCTTTCCCCAGTCTGGTAAGGCATTAGGTGGCCTCCTCGGCTAGATGAATTATATGCTCACTTGAGAGGCTCACACTAAAATGGCAAAGGCGTGGTGTGAGAGAGAAATGGGTTCCGGGTTAGTGAAGAATGGGGAGGATTTGGAGCTGGGGGCAGCGATGATGGTGATGCAGAAGACAGCAGGAATCAGACCTTGCACCCTCTGGCTTGGTCCTTCCTCTCCCTCTGTGACTCTAACTTCAGAGCCGCCCTCATCCTGTCCCTCATCACTGCTGGGTACCACCTTGGGGGCCTCTCGAGTACCGCACAACTCGGGTCCCCACCCGTCTCCATCTTTCCCTGCTGCAGCTGGGGCGTGGGGACCAGGGTACAAGGGCACAACGTGGTGGGCGGGGAGGAGGATGCGTGTCCAGGTGAGAGAGGGCGTGACGTGAAGGTGGGATGCCAATTGCCCGGTCGCAGCCCAGACCCGCGGCGACTGCGTCAGTTCACCCGGGGAGACCACAAGCACGGGACAGGGGAACGGCGGGGTAGCCAAGCAACGCCGGACGCGCTGACGTTGCCGGGCAAACGTCCGCCGGGCCCAGGCGGGCGCAGCAGCTGAGGTAGCGCGCGGGGCGGCCGGTTGGCCGGCGTCTGGCCGCGGCGGGAGGAGCCGAC